AGAGTACGAAAATTGTAATCAAGCTAGGGTATCATTTACGCTTACTTTTTTAAAGGCTTATTGGACTGTTTTTGTTTCTTTCCTTGAACTTTGTTGAACTCCTTCTTCTTCTTCAATATTTTAGGGGGCTTTTTAACTACCTAAGGCAAAAAGATAATAAAGAGCAGCCAACGAAAACGCACTATCCTTGCAATAGTCACTTACTAAGAGTTCCCTTTCGCTATGAAGATTTGCGGTAGTACTTTGACTTGATGATGCAGTTCTTATTTTAAGTTTTTTTAACCTCCGTTTAAATGCCTAAAAATGGTTATAGGACTTGACTCCTTCGTCTCGCTTTGAAGAAATCTTGCTTACTTTCTTTCTCTTTTCTTTACTTTCTTCTGCTGTCGCAGGTTTTAGCGCACAGAAATGTAACATTAATAAAACGCTAGCTAAATTTCAATTTTTGCCTTCACGTTTGGAAAGTGTAGATCGCTAACCTCCAAATTTTATTGCGAAAAGAATCCCTATTAAAGACGTAATGTTTGTATTGTTGACAGAAAAATCTTCTAAAGCATTTTTCTGATCAAAAGTTCGATGCAAATCCTTTTAAATTTGGAAGTGGAACTGACCTATCATATGAATGAGATAGCCACCTCTTATGCACACATCTAAGAAATGAACCCAACTTTGCGCTCGTGGTTTACGATGATCTTTGATAGTAATCTGGATATATCCGTGAATAATAGCATATCTTCATTATTAAATACTCTACAAAAATGTTAGGTCTTTCTAGAAAAAATGGATTGATTTATGGATAGAAATTCTCTGATACAGAGTAACTCGACAACAACAACAGAGCCTCCAACGGCAAGGGTATGAATCAGCACAAATCGCAGGTTTGACCGCACAAGTACTTTCTCTCATCATTACTGTACATTCCATCGTTGCAGAAGCCATCGTCAGCAAATCTTGGGCAACTGCAAGCATTTCGTAATCGCACTATCAGTGACTAAAATATCATAACTTTTCCACTCACTTCTTATGCCTATCCTTACATATTGGAGAGCAAAATTTGCAGCTTTTCGAACACGAGTCAATCATCACTTGTTTATACTTAGCATGGGTACAAAGCTCCGTATGTGAGCGGCAATCAGGCGTTATATCGAAGCAGTCGTCTAAATTGTACACATCACAGCGATGCATAACATGGTTTTTTTTAGGTAAAAATCACCTCCGTACTCTTCCGTAACTTCAACCTCATCACATCTGTTGCAGCTGAGGGTACAATGCTGTGCCATGACATCTCCATAAGTTGGATCGGCACAAAGTGACGAAAATTCTCGGCAATAGGTGTATTCATCGTAACATCTACCTGTAAGAAATGTAATTTACCCAAGCCCTTCGATTTGCACAAGCATTACCCTTAATCAAAGTTTTCGATAAAGATACTGTAAACGATTCGATTTCTGATGTAGTGATATTGGGCAAGTTGTCCTAAAATGAGGTATTTTTACACGGCAACTCTTCAATAATTCTTGTACTTATCATTATATCATTACCTTTGAATTCATAAGCTCCTCTAATTTTACTTTTCGCATTTCGTAAGTCTCAGTTGTAGGCACCACTGATACATTGAAGACAACGGTAGTGGGCTGAACTTCTCTTACTCTGATACAATGAATCTCTGCAGAATATTGTAGCATACCGTATCTGCAGAAGTCGCAGTTCTAGTCTTATTCCTCATGTACTCAATCAATTTTTTGTTACTTGGAGATGGCGTGAACGTCTTTATGAGGGGCCTGGAAAAGGAAATTGTTGAAAAAACTTGTTTTGTATT